GAGGGAGAGCTGGCGGCTTGAAGGACTTGGCAGCGTGGGAGGCTGTGGGACAGGGACAGAGACAGAGCAGGAAGGGAAAACCAAGAGTACGGGGAGCACCAGGAATGGATGGGTGTGGCTGTGAGCTTGTGAATGGATAGGCTGTGTTCCAATAAAACTTTATTTACAAACCAGGAGAGAGGTGGTGGGTCATGTTTGGTCAGCAGGCCACAGATTGTTAAATTCTGTTGTAATCTAATTAAATAAAACAAAACAAAACAAACAAAAAACCCACATCTATGGTAAGATAATACATAGCTTGAAGCAAGACTGCTTACCTGGCCAGGAGACTCAAGCAAATGCACCTGTAAATATTCCGGTGGTAAAGCAGGAATATTCAGAGAGGCCTGGGAAAGTGGGGGTTTTGAACGGGTAAGTGAGGACTCAAGCTCTGCTATCAAAGCACTTGATTGATCTCTGTTCACTGCATTTTGTTCCAAAACCTCAGAATCCTTTCTTCCCGAGTCATCTAATCTGAGAAGTTCAACTTGTGATTCGATGTGTATTAATTCTGGTTTCACAGGGTCCGTCTTCTGGGAGGCAGTCGATGCTGTTGTGAGAGTCACACTCATCTCTTCTATTCCTTTACTTGACACAAAATGCTTTGTGAGGGCAGCCCAGAGCCCGTCAATCCACGGCTCAACGACAAGTTCTAAACTGGATTGTTGTAAAAAAAGGGAAAAAGAAACAAATGCCTGAGTTCTCCATTTAAATACATAAGAATTGCCCTGGCTGGTGTGGCTCAGTTGGTTGGAGTGTCTTCCCGTACACCAAAAGGGTGGCAGATTCAATTCTAGGTCAGGGCACATACCCAGGGTTTGGGTTTGACCCCCAGTTGGGGTGTGTGCAGGAGGTAACCAATGGTTCTCTCTCACATTAATGTTTCTCCCTCTCTCTCTCCCATTTTCTCTCTGAAATCAATAAAAAATAAAAATAAGCCCTTACCGGTTTGGCTCAGTGGATAGAGTGTTGGCCTGCGGACTGAAGGGTCCCAGGTTCGATTCTGGTCAAGGGCATGTACCTTGGTTGCGGGCACATCCCCAGTAGGGGGTGTGCAGGAGGCAGCTGATCGATGTTTCTAACTCTCTATCCCTTTCCCTTCCTCTCTATAAAAAAAAATCAATAAGGAAAATTCACCAAGGACCAGCATCTGGCCTTCAGGTCTATGGTTTTGGAAATTCCACAAAATCTTAGGCAACTGTGAAAAACAGTAGGAAGACTATTCAGGATACAAGAATTAATCATGGATGACTAAGTTAAAAAGCAGAACATTATTCTTAGTTCATTATTAGCACTGAGCTGTAAAAAATATGAGCATGTATAAAAGTTAAAGAACAGAAATGAAGATATTTTGGTAGTAGTAATCGAATGTTTTTCCTCTTAATAAATTTCCTAAAATAGAGTTGGTAATCTTTATTTCAAAAAAGTTTTAATTTTAAACCAGCATGCTAAATTTTGATGTGGCTAACAGAACTTAACCAAAACACAAGTTTACCCTAATGTACAAATGATAATTTTATCAATTGAACGCAGTATCTTTCTTTGTCTAGCCAATTTACTTATCTTTTTTTCCTACATATTAAAATAGTGCTAAGAAATTACACAAACAAATGCTAACGCTTTTGATTAAGTAATTGTTCAAATCCTCTATCAGTTCTGAACAATTTTTCTGGTAAAATTTGCAGGGAGGCAGAACACAGGAGGAAAAAGCAATCATCCTTCAGGGAAGCGGAACTGATCACAAGTATATCTGAAATGTGTTGGTCTACTTACTCCTAATGAAGTGTGGTTACTCCACAATAACATTCCACACATTCCCTGAACAGAGAAGTTATGAGTGAACAGATAAGAACGACTGTGTCAGGAACTTGGAAAGAACATTATTGTCATCTTTAATCACAACTCAAAAGGAGGTACCAATTAAATTCCAATTCATAACATTTTAGACTCTGTATTATTACGACTCCTGCTAA